GTGGAAACTTAGCAAATGTTTTGGATGATTTTATGGTGTGAGCAATTGCAGGCCTGGTTTCTTACAAGTGCTGTCTTGTACACAGAGATATTTGTGGGTTAAGAATGTAGGACTACCAGTTTTCAGTGGTGGTTTTTAAATCCTGTAGTTAAAAAAAAAGTACTTGAGTGTTTCCCAAACAGAATCTCTCTGTGCTGCTTGTGAGGTGCTGTGTACCTCTCCCAGAGGGACTCAGGCTGACTTTCTACTAGTCCTGGAATGATGGGAGAGGAGGAAGCCAGGTTACCAAGGGGCCCGTAGGAGGAAGACTATATCCAACCCTCCAAATTTTAACTGCTGGATTATAGTCCCAACTCAGTCACCCCAAAGGTAGGCAACAACTGGGCTCTAGGTTGGTTGTACTAAGGGCAGTTTAAGTGATGCCAAGCCTAGCCCCAAGGAGGTGAGAGCCCAGAGTGGGCTGGAGGGGAGAGTGCTGTCTTTCAAAGGGACTCTGTGTGTATGCAGAGGGCCTTGCTAGACAGGGAGAAATTTTTCATTTTAAAATTATCCATTAATTGCTACAGTAGTGAAAATAAGAGAATCTTACAATGTAGGTCTAGTGATAGAAATACTCTGGGCACATTGTGAAGCACATTGGCAGAGAGGATATATTCTATGTATATACATCAAGAAGATCTTGGATCTTATGAGTTCTTACAATCACATGCCAGAAGCATCTTAAGCTGCACTGAAATTAGTTTTTTTTTCACCACTTTGGTTATTAACTTTTAAAAAATAATGTCAAGAAATAGAAGAGGGTTATTCACTTGGAGGTCAATTTGTAGTCAACCTACAATAAAAAGTTTAGGTACAAATATATATCTTGAAATGACAAATAAAAACCACACTCATGATCATCCAGGATTTCGCAAGGAGAGTAAAAACATACTCCCTGTAGGCAAAGGGATAGGTATTCCACACATTGGGCAAGGTGGTTCAATTGAGGGGCCTTTGTGGAGGGTTACCAGGCAGCACATGCTAGAAATCTCAGAATCACAGAGTCTCTAACCCAATGATTTACTTTTACAAACTTAGACCAAGAGAGTAAGTAATGAGACATGTGAAAAGATTAAACTATAAGAATACAGACTATTAGAATTATTTATAATAGCAAAAATTGTAGGAACAACCAAACTGTCAATGGCAGGCAAGCGATTTTGCACAGTCTGTTGTGATGAAACAGCAGGCAGCCATTATAAACCAGGCTGTAGACAAATACTGAACAGCCTGAAAAATGTTTGTGGGATAGTGGCACACTACAAAAGCAGTTCCTAAAAATGCATTTTCAAAGTTATCATCTCAAAATTGTAGGTATACTTAGCTAAAATATAGGTACACTTACAAATGCCTTATAAAAAGCCTGAATTTATATCAGATTATTAATCAATAGTTCATTTTATTGTTTTAATTTTTTAAACTTCTGAAATATTTTTCAGTAAACCTGCTACTTTGTAATCAGAAAAAAAATCAATTAAAAAATTAAAAGCCAGGAAATGATATCAGGAAGGTGATGAATAAAGAGGCCCTGGCCCTTGCTCTCCTGGCAAAAGCAATAATTTAACAATGAGTCACCAGCAAAAATAGCTCTGGGAGAGCTTAGAGACTAAAGTGAAGAAGGTTCTGCAATCCATTAAGGCACAAAACCCAGGATGGCTGCATAGAAAAGTGTGGGCAGCATTTAACGTGTGTTACCACATCTCTTAGGCTGACACAAGTAACAAGGGGGAGCCTTTCTGCCATGACCTCTCTCTGTGGAAGAAGCAGTCAGACCCCAGCTGCCTTCCCCACTGTATCTGGCTAGTGGACTCTCTCTGCTTTCTGATCATGGCGTGAGCTGCTTCCATCTACCCACAGTCTCCAACCATGATGTTCTGCCTTGCCTCAAGCTCCAAGGAGCCAGCCTTCTATGGACAAAGACTTCTGAACCCCTCAAATAAACTTTTCTCCTCTATAGGTGTTCTGGATGGGTCTTTAAGTTGCAGCAGTGAAGGAAGCTGACTTAAACAGAAATTGGTACCAGGAGTGGGGTCCTTGCTGTGCCTAACCTGACCATGTGGTTCAGAAGCTTTTTGAGCTTTTTGGAATTGGTGGAAGGAATTTTGAGCTGTTTAACAGTGCAAGCTAGAAATGCTTTAGGTTGTTGTAAGCAGAGCTTAATGGCCAATTCTGGTGGGACTTCAGAAGACCAGAATGGCAATAGGACTGGGGACAATGAAGATGGGTCTCAAGAGGGTTCAGACGACTACTCTATTGGAATTTGGAGTAGAGGCCATTTGTGTTATGTTCTGGCTGAGAAGCTGTCTTCATTCTGCCCTGTCCAGAGACTTTCTGGGAGACTGATCTTAGAAGTAATGGACTTCTTAATCTGACAGAAGAAACTTCTAGGCACCATAGCATTCAGGCGGTGGCATGAATATTGCTAGTAGCTTTTAGCGAAATTTATTGTGATAATCAGGGGAAGAAAGCAGAGCAGAAAGATTTGGAAAATGTGGATTTGAAAGGCCAGAGTAAAACTAGGGCTAAGGAAGTTGCAGTTGTTAAAGACTTTACTGCCAATACAGAAATGCTAAAGACTTTTCCTAGAGACAATGAGAAAGATGGCTTGAGGTCATCTCAGGAGCTGGCAAGACCATACTCATCTCAGGCTCCAGGGGGTAAAGGTGAAAATTCTCTGGAGAAGAGTCCAGTGGGTCACCTTTCTTGCACAAGTGGGCCTAGGAAGTGTTTTCAACATGCTCAGCCACCCAGACACTCAGAGACTGCTGTAGCCAGGGCCCCTGGAGGCTTGGCTACTGCTCAGATGGCAGCAGACCCTGGAGTCAACCACATGGTGCTAATTTTACAGGAATGCAGGATGCTGGAGTTAGGGGTTCATGGAGGCTTCCAGGAGGATTTCAAAGGAAGGCCTGGGAGGCCAGGCAAATTGCAGCAGTGCAGGTATCCCCTAGGAAGTCAAAATGTGAGGAGGAAACTGAAGCTCCAGTGGAGACCCCTGAGATTAAGAAATACCAGTAATGTGGGACATCATCCTAGGAAGCTGAAGGAATTGAGCAGAGACAAGCCAACAAAGAGGCCACTTGGGCTGCAACCAACAAGGCCCCAGGGGTAGAGCTAAACAAGCCCTTTGAGAGAACATCATGATGTCATGTGCCCTAGATGCCAGACATGGATCTACAGCACTTGTTTGCCCAGCTGGATTTTGGTCCTATCCCTTCTATGCCCCTAAATTTGTGAATGGAAATGTGTACTCTGTAACATTGTATATTGGATACTTGTAAATTGCTTTTAATTTTGCAGGAGCTCACAATGAGAGATTGCCTTGAGAATTCTTAAAATTCTCAGAAAAAAAAAAGAATTTTGACTCAAACTTTGAGCAATCTTGGAAATATTGATTGTGGGGACTCTTGGAAATGGGGAAAAATGTATTTTGCATTGTGAGAGGGTTGTGAGCTTTTGGGGGCCAGGGGCAAATGTTATGGTTTGAATGTGAGGTATCCCCCAAAAGCTCACGTGTCAGATAGAGCACGAAATTTCAGAGGAGAAATGATTGGGTTATAAGAGTCTTAACCCAATCAGTCATTTAATCCTCTGATAGGGATTAACTGAGTGGTAACTGAAGTGGTAGGGTGTGGCTGGAGGAGGTGGGAATTGGGATGTGGCTTTGGGTGTATGTTTGTATCTGGTGAGTAAACTCTCTCTCTGCTCCCTGATCATGATATGAGCTACTTCCCTCTGCCACACTCTCCCACTATGATGTTCTATCTTGCCTTAAGCCCTGAGAAATGAAGCTGGCCTTCTATGAACTAAAACCTTGAAACCGTGAGTCCTCAAATAAACTCTCCTCCACTATAGTTGTTCTGATTGGGTCTTTAAGTCCCAGCAGTGAAGAAGCTGAATAAAACACCCACTGAGGCTTCCAGACATTGCCATTATCACAGACACCTGCAGCTTTCATGAATGAGTCTGATGGAGCTGCTCAGAGTCCAAGCCATTGTCCTTACCTGGAGCCAGAGCTGCTACTCCTGTCAGCTGGTACTTACTCCAAGAGCTCTGTAGCAAAAATGCAAGAAATCTAAAGAAATTAGCAAAGGATTTGACTACACATTTTTCAAAGATATACACATTTTTCAAAGGCCAACAGATATATTTAAAAAGTGCTCCATATCACTAATCATCAGGGAAATATAAATCAAAACCCAAATGAGAAACCTCTGTTCAGTTGAAATGGCTTATTATCAAAAATACAAAATTAAATAACCAAATAACTAAATAAACAAATAGCATGTGGTGGCCAGGTTATGAAGAAGGAGGAACTCTTAGAAACCACTGGTGGGAATATAAATTAGAGAAAATAGAAGTTCCTCAAAAAATTAAAATTGAAACTACCATGTGATCTAACAATCCCATTTCTAGGTATATATCCAAAGGGAATAAGTGTGTATCACAAAGAGACATCTTTAGTCCTATGTTCATTTCAGCATCAGTAGCTATGATATAAAAACAATCTAAATTGACATCAATGGACAAATGGATAAAGAAATTATGATATGTACATATGCATTATGTGTATAGATGTATATATTTGTACACAAACAATGGAATGCTAGCCAACATTTAAAAAGAGGGAAATCATGTCATTTTCAACAACATGGATAACTGGAAAGATATTGTGATATGTGAAATTAGCTCCATAGAGAAAAAAAAAACAAATACTGCATAATCTCATTTATATGTGGAAATAAACTCATAGCAGTAAATAATAGAATGGTGGTTATGGAAATGGGGAGATGTCAGTCATGGGGTGCAAAGTTTCAGTTATACAACATGAGCCAAGAGGGTACATTGTACTCCCAAAGAAAAAATGACAACTATGTAAAGCAATGGATATATTAATGACCTTTATACTGGTAGTTATTTCACAAGGTACATACATCAAGACATGAAATTGCACACAATAATTAAACATACAAAATTTTTTATTTGTTAATTAAAAGCAAAGGTGGAAAATTTAAAACACTGTGTGATGTATTATTTATACCAACTGCAAATAGAAGAATTGTGTCAAATCCCATCTATACAAGCAGCTAAATTTTTTAGAAAATACACAGTGAAATATTTTTATTTCACAGAATTGCTTATTCTATTCATTATTAACAGCCCAGTTTTTCACAGAATATACTTATTTGTTTACATTTAATAGTGCATGTGTAGTAACAAAATCTAAATGACAGCAGATATCATGTCTATTTCTCTCAACTACTTACATGTGTTAAAAGGAGCTCACACAAAGCTAACTAGGCCCTGTCTTTCTCCTGCTTATAATGCCCACAAGCATCTGCTGCAGGATAGCTAAAGGGAGAAGGAGGATGTGTCTTCTGGAGTTTACAGCTGGTGGATACACTTAGCACAAAATATGTACCATCCCTGATGAGGACATTCAGAAGAGGAATCCAGGCAGTGGGGGACTATGACACTGCAATGCAGTCAGGCAGTTCCAGGGGACCCTCAGGAGGGTTAGGGTAGAGAGACACTGGGAACAGAGGAGAGGAGGACTTTGACACCCAAATGCATTAAAGGTGAATGACTCCAAAATTAACTGATAACTGCCCATTCATTAGCCATTAAGGCTAAGAAACAGAACCTGTTCCTCTTTCTCTGGTCACCATAAGTCTGTACTTATGTTGCAGTGATATTCAGCTTTCAATCCAATGGACAGCATCTATAGAGGGCCCATGATATGCAGAAGACTAACTGCTATGGCAGATATAAAGATGTGTGAGGATAAAATCCCTGCCCTTGACACTTACAAGCTGGTAAAATGATTAAGCAAAGCCTCACACAACCACATAAATCATATTTAAAAGCCTCTGTATAACTTTCATTTCTCTAAATCTGCCCTAGTTCCTGTCAGAAGTGTGTTTAGGTGCTAAATGCAAGTATTATTTTTGATGCCAACCTTCTCCAAAGGAAATTCAGTAGTTTCAATGAGTTTTCAAAGTATGCCTAACCTCTTTCTGACATGAAGAATATTTGTATTCATAATTGATAATTACATAATCTGTCCATTAATTTAATGAATCCAGATATTTTACAACAGTTATGTTCTTGGAAAGATAGTCTATGTGAGAAAATATATCTAGGAATGTTAACTAATCATACCCAACCCAACTAAACTAATATTGGAAATATTAATATTTGTTAGAAAGATCCCCTCTAACAAGAAACTTGTCGTCTACTCTGCTTTACTTGCACCTTATACCAGAGTTAAGTGATATATGGAAGTGAGCCCCATCACCACCCCCAGATGCACAATTCAACATCATATTTCTGAGCTTAGTAGAAAAAAATAAACTACGGGTGTACCTTCTTTAGTACTCACTTCAAACAATGCGCATTTAGAATTCACATATCACTGAAATCAGTTGGATCTTTGAATACTTGGCTTTCAAACTCCATCTGACTCTGCAAAAAAAACATACTCAACTTACAGACTTACAGACTCGACTTACACACACGAACTTCCAAAAAACAGGTAGGGCAAAACAAAATACTCTGCATGTCTCTCTAATGTTTATAGAGAGAAAGGGTAGCTGGGAGAATGGGCATCAAGACTTTCAAGTGTTTATGTGGTTGTCTTCTTCCATAGACTTCATTGGTACTGACTGTATTACAAGCACAATGCTTGGTTCTTGGTCCACAGAGATGAACAAGACCCTCTGACATAGCTCTCCAAGGGCTTCCAACCTAGTATCAAAGAATGGCCAGAAACTGGGTGGACAGATGAGGGCCAGGAGGACTGCAGCAGGAATCAGTACACATTGAATTCTGGAAGTCCTGGAGGAGGGATCCAGGCACAGTTAGACCATGGAGGGAAGTGGGAGGGAAAGTAGAGGGAAGTGGCGAGACTTCCTGGAGCAGAGGAAGGCAGACCAAGAGCTCTGGACAATGAAGGGATGTGCTTCAGTAAGGTGAAGACCCAAGAGTGTTCACAGGAATTATTAACAGAAGGGCAGAGTGACCCTGGCCACAGCAGATACAGGGATGGATGAGAGGAAATAGAGGGTAATATAGGTCCCAAATCTGGACAATCTTTTCAAGAACCTTGACTGTGAGATGGAGCCTTTAGACAAGAAGTAGAAAAGCTATAAAATTAATTTCTCTGCCCTTTCCCTCCTTCCCTTCCTCCCTTCCTTCCTTCCCCCTGTCCCTCCATCTTTCCTTTATTTCTTCTCTTTCCTTCCTTTATTTATTTCTTCTCTATTTATTATTTATCTCTATTTATTTATTATCCTTCCTTTAGTTTTGTTTTTCAGGCGGGACAGTTTAAAATGTTTAAAGTCCTAATGGGAAGGTTTTACTAGAGAGGGAAGAGGTAAAGGTAAATGAGGGAGCAAAGGTAAATGATAAAGAGGAGGAGGGAGACAGATCCAGAACTCTCCATCAGGCATTTATGAGATCCATCCATCTACTCATCCATCCATCCATCTATCCATATGTCCTTCCATCATTTACTGGGCATCTACTATGTGCTGCACACAAGCCACATTTGTGCAGAGATTGGAAGAAGGAAGATATTGAGCTCTGGTCTGGGGAAAGGACTTCTGGGTAGAGGCAACAGCCAATACAAAGCATATAGGGAAGAACAGCAAGGTGGCTGATGTGGCTCAGTGCCATGTGAGAATGGGAGACAGTAGAAGATGTGACAGGGGAGAGAGAGAAAGAGGCCATTGTATCTACTCTCAAACCCACAGGCAGGTCCTGAGCAAGGATAGAGCATGATAGCATTGGCATTATTGAACATACTTGAGTAGCATTGGCATTATTGAACATACTTGAAGTAGGGGGGAAATAATGGAACCAAGAGACCTAATGATCTGGGCTGAGAGACAGATCATTGTGCCTGATACATGTTGATGTGGGAAGAGGTTGTAATCGTAAATTTTGGAGGAGACAGATAGTAAACTGGTTCTCAGGCTTCTCAATGAAAAACCTGGGTGCATAGGAATGCCACTTAACGATAGGGAAGACTGAGGGAGAGGTGAAGTTTTAGGGAAAACCTGAAATTTGTTGAGGGTATGTCAAGTGGGCAGCTGGAGAGATAAACTAAAGCTTCAAAGGATGGGAACATTAATAAATCACGTAACGCTATCTTTTTGTAAACCCCCAATGAATTTCCATCGTCTTTAAGACAACAAGATATGGTCCTTCTTTGCATCTGCCACCTGATCTCCAGCCTCATATGCACCTAATTCTCATCCAAGACAGATGTATTTTCATCTTTTACTTACTCTTTCCCTTTTCACTCCCCTCTTTATTTTATATATTTCTTTTTGCTTAGATTACTTTCCCCCATTTTGACCTGGCTATTTTCTCCTTCAAAACCCAGTTCTGATAAGCCCTCCTATGTCACTGTCCATGTTCCGGTGGTTCCCTACAGCTTTTGCACTCGATGTTGCCTCTACCTGGAAGTCCTTTCCCAAGACCAGAGCTCAATCTCTTCCTTCATCCAATCTCTGCATTTATGAGATGGATGGATCTCACAAATGCCTGAAACATACCGTTGATTTAGACACCCCTCTTCTTGCCAATCACCATGTTCTATACATCTCTAAGGACGCCTCTGACACTAGGACACCCAGGCCACTCTGCCAACTAGTGAATGGACTTTGAAAAGTTGACCAAAATTATCTGAGCCTTAGTTTTCTCAATTGTAAAAAGAGGATAATAGTACTATCTACTTCAGAGAGTTTTAGATGGATTCATTGAGGTGATATGGTACTTGTGACACTGCCTGTCACAGATGAAGCACCCTATAAGTCATTAAATATTATTATAACAACACTTATCACACTGTTATAAAACTATTTTCATATTGTCTTTTTCTCTCAAGACAATCAAGGAGCCTTTCATCTGGCACACATTAAGTCTCATTAATTGTTTTCTAACATGAGTGAGTTAAGTTATGAATGGAAAGCAAAGCACTTGGCTACAATAAGTACTATGAGATGAACTGGCAACTTCTTCTTTAGTGGCCTTTCAGTATTGAGAAGCTATTCTCCCTGGGTGAACATGATTCCTCTGGTCCACTATAAGCAAGAAGTTCTGGATTGCATATCTTATATTACACTTTAGTTACAGTTCAGCCAAAGCAATATTGTTACCTTTGGATCAGGTAGACATGGTCCAAAGGCTTCCAACAGAAGAGTCTCTTCTCTCACAGCTTTTTCATAGTCTGCAAAAGATAGCTTCCCATCATGGTCATAATCCTGAGGGGACAGCAGGAATACAACAGTTAACACGTAACATGCTTACCACAACTGCTTGTTATTTTCATACTCAAACGTTAATGGAAGAAAGGTTCTAGAGGAATAAGGGATTGAGTCATAGAATTGAAAAGAATTTTGGGGGGTTTGCTGGGGATGGAACCCAGAGCCTTGCATATTCTAAGCAAGCCCTCTAAAACTTAGCTATCCCCCCAGCTCAAAAGAATTTTGCATATTGTAATAGCACCATTCAAGTGTTTGGTTAACTAAAAAGGAAACTGAAAATTCTCATTATTCAAATTCTTATTTCCATCCCATATGTGACCTGTGCATTTCAATATAAAACTCTAAATTACTCAAAATCATTACCATTTTCTTAAGTGTTATTTCAACCAGATCTTTAATTCCTTCATCTGGGTCTTCCTCTGATGGCTGTTTCAGAAGGCTGTTCTTCAACATGTGGAACATTTCCTCCTTTGAAATGAAGCCGTCCCCATTCAAGTCAAACACTTCAAAGCAATCTTTAAAGAAAGTGTCAAATGATGAGTTTGATATTATCACTAAGGTAACATTTTCTCTGACCGAGTCTTGAGGGCTGAGGTCTATCTTGCTGATGCTTCATCAACCCTGAAGACCTGGGCATCACCTGGTTTTCATGGTAAATGTGGAATGCATTCAAGAATCCTCAGGAAATTTCTTTACTCTCAGTTATAAAAAACCATATCAAGGAACAAAACATTGGACATTTTTAAATCCTGAAACTCTTGGCACACCGATTAAAAATATGACTTAGAGTTCATCAGATTCAACTATTAAACATTAGAACTTTTGGAAAATCTGCTATGGTTTCCTCTCTAGCACTGAGAGAGTTCTATCTCTGTCTCTATCCTTCAATAAATCCTACTCTTGCACTCAAAAGAAATGAAAAGAAAAAAAGAATCAAACACTTAAATCAATAGTCTCTGCTTTTCTGCTTAAAATTCAAATGATGTTAAGTCCTTAGTACATAAATACATGTGTATATAATTAGTGTGTACAGCAACGCCTACGCAAACTTCCCTGGCATCATAATCACTCTTCAGAATTACTTGATTTTCCTTTTTAGTCATTTTCTTTTATCCCCTGTTGACTCAAATTCATTCCATAAAAGAAGCTAATGAGGATCCAAACCAACCAACCAACAAACTCACCCACCCACTGGCTGGTTGGGGGACAGTAATTTAAACACTTTGGCTATGTTAATCATAATGTACAAACAGTAGGACAACCTGAACTCTTACATTTCATTTTTTCATCTAAGGATCCTCGAAGAAACACGGTTAATCCGTTAACCCACTCCGATACATTTATACAGCCGTCATTGTCTTTATCAAAAGTTCGGAATACTAAAAAGAGAAAGAGATACTATGTAACAGCTGTGCTGCATTTGAATTCTCAATAATGTATTTACATTGGTATCGCTTGCTTTTATAATTTAGAGAAAACGTCAGGATTTTATAGTCCAATATTCTCACTTGACAAAGGAGGAAACTGAGATATCAGAACATTGATATGCATTTTAATTATGCATTTGAATTTTCTCTTCCTATTTTGTGGGAAGAAAGAATATTCTGAATATATAAATACATACACTATTAATTAATAATACAATATTGTGATATATTAAAATGTTAATTATATTAGATAATCTAAACATATTAATATAACATATACAATTTCATATTTTTGTTACTCAAGACAAGGAATATTATTACATGATAAGACTGTATTCCATTTTTATTTAGATATAAGAAAATTTAAATGTAGTTTAGACGCCATTATATTCATTATGTTTACTAAGAAAAAATAGAAATATTCCAAGCTTTTCAATATAAGGGAAATCTAATTACCCAACCTTTGTCATGTTCTTACATATAAAGAGAATATTACATCTTTCTCTAATTATCTTTGGAAAATTAAATGTTTATATTCAAATAAATAGAGAATGTAGAACACTAAGCCTCCTACCAAGATTATGACCGAACTCCAAACTTTTAAATTTTTTTTCTGGTGGCTAGAATTGACTGATTTAAATTTTGTATATCTCTTACCTCTGTCCATAATCATGTCATCTGTCATTCCAAATGTTACATGTAGGATGTTCCGAAATGCGTTACGATCTAGTCCAACAACTGCAACTGGTCGATCTGCTACATCTCCAACCAAGTTATAGAAAAGCTTTATGAGACATGTCACTTCAGATCTATTAACTGTAGAATAATAAAGGTAAAACAAAAGTGTATTTCAATCTTTACATTATAAGATTGCAATTGAAGCATATTTATATGCATTAAGACTATGTCATATATATACATAAATACATCAGTATATATATTTACATATATATACTGTATATACATGTATATATATATACTGTATGAATAGTATACTGTATATATATTGTGTGTATATGTGTATATATATATATATACACACACACACATACATATATATACCTGTGTGTGTCCCGATTTGAGATTCATACCTTAAGTTAATGGATGAAGATAGCCAAAGATACATTACTCATTTAAGAAAACTAGCATTTCCTTCAAACAAGAGTCATACATTAAATAGATGCAAATTCAATCATGTTTGGGGGAGCGAAGGTAATATTAGCTTAGTAATTTGAATGATGAATGTGGTATCAGATTCTAAATTTTATAAGGTTTGTAGATGTATAATTTAAAATAAGAATGGTAATGTTTAAGAATGTTAATTTTTTCCCAGCATTTTGGTAAGCATTTATGAGATTTACAACTTGGCTTTCCCAGAAAATAGACACTGTACTTTGAGAATTAATGGTTTTCATTTTTAATTTCACTTTAACCTTTGTGAATTCATAAGCCATATTTCTGAAATAAGAAACACCTATTTTACAAAAAAGAAGTTTTGAGCATGTTCTAGCACCTAATATGGCTCCCCTTAAGGACAATGTAAAAATTAACATTGAACAATTAGTACTTTGGAGGGAGGACATTTGTATCTAAAGCATATAAACAAACACAGATATTTTCTGGTACCCATGATTACATAAAGGACAGTGTTTACAAACACTGAATTAATCATGTGTTCCAACTGCCATTTGAAGTATGTAGGTGGAAGGGTTATTGCCTGGCATTAAGAACATAAAATGAATCTAAATATGAAGTATACAAATACAAAAAATAATTTTTGTTTCAAAACCAGGTAAAATTATGGTTGAATATTTTCAAAAAACAAAGACAAAACCTGTGTACATCTGTGAGAAGATAACACATGAAAATGGAAAAAATCACACCTCATCCTATAGATCAGGACAGCCTCCAGTGATTGCTGCTTTTGAGAACCACATTTTAAGGGAAAAATTTAAAGCTTTAAAAAGATTAAACAAGTTAAGTAGCAGAAAATGTAATGGTTATGATTTTAAAATGAACCAAAAAAAAAAAAACCAACAACCCAACAACAGTATAATGGTTCCTCAAAAAATTAAGCATGAGGGCTGGGGTTGTGGCTCAGCAGTAGAGCACCTGCCTAGCATGTGTGAGGCAACTGGGTTTGATCCTCAGCAATGAAAGGAAGGAAGGAAGAAAGAAAGGAAGGAAGAGAGAAATAGAGAAAGAGAGAGAGAAAGAGAGAGAGAGAGAGAGAGAGAGAGAGAGAGAGAGAGAGAGAGAGAAAGGCAGGGAGGGAGGGAGGAAGGAAGGTCCATCAACAGCAACAAATGAATAAAAAAATTAAACGTGATTGGCATATGATCCAGCAATTCTACTTCTGAATATACACACAAAATAATTGAAAGTAGGACCTCAACCAGATGCTGGTACCCCAATATTCATAGGAGTATTATTCATGATCACCAAAAAATAGAAGCAACCCAAGCGTTCGTTGATGAATGAATGGCTAACCAAATGTGATGTATTCTTACGATGGAATATTACTTGGCTTTAAAAAGGAAGGAAAATTCTGTCACATACTACAAAATGATCAATTTTATGGACATTAAGATAAGTGAAAATTCAAGACATAAAAAGATAAACACTGCATGATTCCTGTTATATGAAGTCAAATTCATAGTGACAGAAAGTAGAATGGTTGCTGCCAGCGGTTGGGGGAAGGAGTGAGTGGGGAGTTATTCTTCAAGGTACAGTGTTTGAGTAGGGAAATATGAAAAATTTCTGGAGATGGATGGGTAGTTACATAACAGTATGAACGTACAGTAGTCTCCCTGCTAAATCTGAAGTTTTTTTTTCAAGGATTCAGTAACCCATGCTCAACCACAGTCTGAAAATATTTTAAAAAGTTTCAGAAATAAAGTATTTATAAGTTTTAGATAACATTTATTGCAGTATATTGTCATTATTGTTCTATTACTGTGATATTACTGTGAATCTCTTACTGTTCCTAATTTATAAATTCAAATTTATTACAGATATATATATGTATATACACACACACACATATATATACATGTAGTATATATATTCATATATATATATATATATCTGACAAAACATGGGATATACAAAGTTCAGTACTATACACTATTTTGGGGTCTAGCAACACATTCCACATAGATAAGGGGGAAATTCTATACTTACTGCCACAGAATCACAGAATTATACACTTAAAACAGTTAAAATGGGAAATTTTGTGTTATACATGCATGCAAAGCTCTTTTAAAAAGACCTGTTAGGGATTGGGGAAGAAAATCCTACATGAAGAATGCTCTGTGTTCATGTGTACTAAATGCCAGCAGAAGGGATATTAATTAGACATTTTTCCATTCAACTGAAATCAAAATTAAAGAACATAAGCTGAATATATCAATTGACTTTTAGCTCAAAAATTGATTCAAGGATCAAAGGTTGGCCATGAGTACTTTTCTTACTGAAATAGTTCTTACATTCTAGAATATGCTATTATACGAAATTAGGGGACATTGATATGGAATGGCTTTCATCTTTCTGGAAACCTCTACATGTGATCTATAGATCATATTGTAGAATCATAAGATGGTGGATGGAGAATTAACTAGATGCTCACTTAAGTTCTTTTCTTCTTCTCTGATTCAATAATATGTATCCATTTCATCTATTGCATTATCATCTGGAAACTATAAAAGAAATGTGATTTTAGGTAAAAGCCTTCTGTTTAAAAAAAATTAAAATTATTATAATATCCATGACCTATAACTATTTCTACATAAGGTAGTGATGTTTACTTTTAATCATCAAAGTTATTAAGGCTCACTTAAATTTTTTTTGTAAGAACAAAAATCAAGAGTTGATTTTTTCTGACGTGTTTTCATTTATCTTTTAAAATACACGTTCACTTTTCAATTGTTCACAGAATGTTTTCAATGCATTGGAAACTTACTGAACAGAGGCTAAATCAAAATCAGTACTGTGTATAGTAGTTATTGCATTGTTTATGAGTATTATAAAAAATGTTTACTAGATGTTTTAAGAATATCTAGTCTTTTCCCAGAAATAAAAGTGTTTTAAGAAAAATAACAGAATGAAATCCTCATCAAATTAAAGGTCTGTAATAATACCTTCAATATAACTTTTATTTATAACACCAACCCACGAACAGAGCATTCTTACCACTCTTTACATCAGATACTAATGATGATGAGAAGGCACTAGATCCTTTAATCACACTTAAGCATGTTTACTCTTCCTTGTTTGCATAATGGGTATTCTCTGAGGACCATGGCTTCTCCTGTTTCCTCAAGTGGCCAGTAGTTTTGCAATCAGCATACAACTTGGAAGCCTGGGAACCAGACAATATCATACTCTTCTAAACCAAATCTATTGCTTTCTAGCCAAAGTACAGTTGGAATACAATACTAAAGTGTTCTATGACGTTCTAGGACTGCCTTTCCAAAGGGGAGATGAGAACAGCTGTCTTTAATAAACATTCAGTTTGTCACTTAGAAAGTCTTCTCTACCTTCCCACCATATTAGCAATTGGAAAGTGGAAGTGTAAAGTTGGGAGCAGATTGTTTACCACATGTTTAGCTCTGCTGAGCAATTTTATTTCCAAACAAATCTTGCTCTGAGACAGGTTTCTGTACCACTTCAACTCATCTTTCCTAAAGATGATCAGTTGTTTATGACTATTTTCCCCTATGGATCTCTTGTTAAGCTTCCAGAACTTGGACCTGTCCTTTATTTTGTTCTAGGAAAGAGCTGAAAAGCAGGCTAAGGTGCACGATGTACGTTGGTTATGCTCTTTTCTTGAGTCCGGTGGGTTTTAGTACTTTAGTCTGAGGCTAAAACTACATGTCTCATGAACACATATTATTTCACTTCTATAATGTAAAAGTAAATTAAGAAGGGGGTCTGAGAGCCCGGCATGCTGTCATATGCCAAACAATGCCAGCTACTAGGGAGGTTGAGGCAAGAAAAAGGAGGATCTCAAATTCGAGGTCAGCCTGGGCAATATGGCAAGACCCAATCTCAAAATTTTAGAAAAGGGTGCTGGAGTGGGGTGGTGTTGGAGATGTAGGTCGGTAGCACGTGAGAGGCCCTGAGTTCAATCTCAGCACCGAAGGCCAGGACCAAGGGCAAAGAGGGCCTGAGGAACCAGAAAAGTGTAGTGTCCTCAAGTGTAGGTAGAACTAAATGCATGGAGAGTAGTTCTCAAGGTCCTGGGCGTGGGTGCCCGCCCAAGGAGCTAGCATCCCAGGATGGGATTCTCTTTTAGACTTCTCTTAGGGGTTTGGGGTGGGCCCATGGTCACACAGGTCCTGGAGGCAGGAAGTAGGCACAGCAGGGAAATTGCACTGGGTAGGAGCAGACTTGGCCCAGGAACCTCGGCTTGTTCAGCACTTGATTCTTACTTACAGTGCTTGCAATTTTTAGTTAAGTTGTCCGTCAACTTCTGCAATTTCTTTCGGTTCATGTTGGGAGCTCATGGAATCTGGCGGTGGCTAGTGTCTCTGCGCGCGTGGCAGAGCGACCCTGGAGAATCCCGGGACCAGGACAGCCAGGCTGGGTCTCTGCCCTTCCCGTGCAAGCGCTGGCCTAACAGTCAGAGCGTCCAGGGCAACAGCTGGGCCAGCTGCGGATTGGCTACCGGGCTGGGGCGCGAGTGACGCCTACGCGGTACCAACACACAGGGAGGCCATGGCAACGGCGGGGCCGGCCGCTGATTGGCTCCCGGGCGGAGACGCACAGGGTGCGGACACGCCCCCAACACAACGTGGGTTGGGCCACGGCTGGGGCGGCCGCTGATTGGCTCCGCAGCCCATCACTCAGCTCCCGCACAGGCGCAGGTTGCAGACAGAATTCTGATTGCTAAGGTTGGAGTTTTCCTTTCCAGTTGTCACTGTCTTTTGGGTTCACAGTCTCTCTCTGCGTCGTAAATCATCAAAGTCTAGGAGTATGATGTGCACGCAGTGTGAGGAATGTCTGGGGCGGGTGTGAGCCTCGCATCTCAAGGGAATGCTTCTGGTCTTCAGGGAGATCTGGGGGAATTGGGAGAACTTCACGAAATATCAAGTGTTAGCTTTTCGCTGTGGAATGCTGGAGGGTGAGGAGCTTGTTCTGGTGAACTACCTAGGAGATTGTCAGTTTTTGTGCTCTGACACCAGGAGGAAGTCTGGTACGAAGTATCTTCATGTTATGGTTACATTTCTGAGAGTAAGAAGAAACTGGAGTCCTTTTGTCCTCTCCTTCTGCCCCCCCCCCCATCCCATTCTTTGGATGTGGAGATTGTCAGTGTCAAATTTTAAACCAGTTCAAGAGGCATTGTCCCAAATGGAAACAGGCTAACTGCCACTTAGGTGTGGGTTACAGACAGGTTCAGTGTCTTCAAGAAAAAAAAAAAAGTTCTTAAACTTGCAGAGTCGGGGGAACTTTCTGCTTTTCTTAACTACAGATGATACAACCCTGTTCGAATTAAAACAACAATAGATTGGGGGTAGCTCAGCCAGCTCAGCCAGTAGGATAAATGTACAACATTCTCCAGACTGTCGACTAGTTTAATTTCAGAAGGGAAAATGCCTTGGAAATCCAAACTATTTTAAAGTATACATGCTATCATCTTTAGAATAAAAGTAAAAAGACCCCTGCCTACCCTGCCTTAATAATCCAAAATGAAACAGATTCAGTATTGAGGTCTCTGGTTTTCTTTTGTTGTTTCATTTGTTTGTGGAATGAAAGATTGAGATGCTATCTGAAACCAGAGCTGGGGTTGGGCTTTTTTTTAGGTTGAAGAATTGTAGCAAATGTTGACTTTATAGATTGCTGAGGTGCTAATTTCAAAAGACAGGAAATCATAGTAGTTGTCAGTAGTTAATAAGAGAAGCAGTGGGTATATATGGTGTGCGGAAAGTCTCCCTGTGCATGTGTTTTAGGGAACAGGCCTCCACTGGTAGTGAGCACATTGATGACCATGCCCAGGCTTCTTGGAAGGCAGACTATATTGGTACCTTCTGGGGAGCACCTGTAGGTAGGTGATCTAATCAGGTATTACTTCAGCAAGATCTATCATCCATTTTCCTTTAAAGTAGAAAAAATAATGTAGGGGCACTATCACAGCCTGTTTAGATTACAATAAGCATTTTGTTACAGCAGGCAACCATTTCTTAGTTTGCTGAGCAACATTTGTGAGGTATCTTCTTCTCTCCGGCATATCTGCCAGTTCTTCTTTCTTCTATTCTGGTCTTTAGTTTAAAAGAATCTGAACAAATTGTTGTGTGAAACTCATGGCTTTAATACTGTGGGCTGCAGAATTGACCTCACCATAAAGTTTTACGAATCTTTATTGGGGAAGTACAATATTTATTTTGGTCATATTTTGTCAGAATATGGGTAAACATCAGAACTTTCATTCTATTTTTGTGAAGTTATTGAACTTAATATTTTTAGATGTAAGAAACAAGCTGGAGGCCTGTAGAGTCAGCATATCACATCTCAAGGCAGAATGGAAATTTCTTTTTGTAGTTTTTAGCTGCTTTTGCTGAGTAGAGACAGATTGCTTTTCCCCAAGGGTTTTCTCAGAGTAAGGCAATTAAGTTGAAATAGTTACCTCACATCAAATCAATCAATAAAGATTGTGTTTAATTTGTATTGGACACAAATTTTACTGTGCATTAAATGATCACAGAACTTTCCAAAATTCAAGCAACCTCCAGATGGATGCTTTTGTAAATACAAAAATACATTAAAGTGACTATTAATGCTATAATGTTTCCTTTAATTTTGTGTGCAAAACAATCTTCCCTTTGACTCACCATTCATTGGAATGTTGCCATGATAAATAGCTTGGACCTTGACTTGATGAAAGTGTTTTCCTTTAACATGGACCTTTTATAATGAAGGCATTTGAAAGCTGTTTAGGAAATTACATCATAGAATTGATCTCCAAATTCAGTGTATTACAAAATTATTATGAAATTGCTTTAATAGAAGGAAAATAGAAAGGTTGGTTATCTGCATCATTTAAATTCAATTTTACAAACTTTATTTTGTAGAGTACAGTGATGAAAAATTTGAACTTAAGTTTAGCCAACTATTTGGTTGAATGGACACTGCTACCTCTGGCCTCTTCCTCCTTTGCTGTAATGCTGTAGTGACAAAATACTTTTAGCTCTTGAAACCCATTGAACACTGTCACACTTACAACTTCTATCCTATTTTTTTTAAATTCCTACTCACCTCCAATGGCAATTCTTCTTCAAAGACACATTTCTGCCTGACTCTCTCCTCCCCAGTCATTCTCTGTCCTAGGACCTTTTCCTTTCTAGTCCTTGCCACTGTGTGGAATAACTTCACTTGCTCTCTTTAATCTCTCCCCTTTACTAGACTGTACATTACATGGTGTGCTCTCTTTCTTCCTGTTCTAGTGTGTTTTACCTACTGTATCTATCCATTGTCTGTATCTCTGAAATTTGACAACACAGACCATGTTATATGGGCTGTATTAATGGAAACTGGTGGGAGAGATGCCCAAATTCAGGGATGGCTGCAGTCTGGCTGGGCACAATTCACGTGCCACTTATCAAGCACAAACGAACTTTATTTTTAGAACACAGGACTGCAGCACAGAGCTCTTCAGGAATTCCCTCAGAGCCCAACTGCCACCACTGGCTTCTGGGAGCTTCTCAACCCCCCACTCCTCCTGCTCTTGATGCCGATTGGCTGGGTCGAGTGGGCGGAGCCAAAAGAGTCCCCCAGTGAGCAGCTCTGTGGTCTGAAAGGGCGGGGAAATAGCCCAATGAGCATCACTGCAGAGGAGCCAATCAGCTGGCAGCTGGAAGTTTGCTGGGGCCACAGTGAGCCAATCAGCTGGAAGTTTGCTGGGGCCTCTGTGAGCCAATCAGCTGGAAGTTTGCTGGGGCTCCTTTGGCTGTGGCTTTCAACAAGGGATGAACTCTCAAATTCCCTGTGGTACCTGGTAGATAGTCCCCTAAATGCAGTGTGGGGTACCTTAGAGGGAGAGGTACAGTGCCCACACTAGGGCCCTAAAATAGAGCATGGAGACTAAGAAGAGCTTTCCTTTAAACTGATCTTTCCCCACAAATACACACTCAATATGCCCTGGTGTTAACACAAATCTAGACTTTTTATTTTTGTTATAATCAAGTGACCAGTGGGTAAGTTAAATACTCAAGATTTACTAAAGATAGAATTCTTATATATTTCGTGTAATTTACTAAGTTGTAAATTAAGTGATAAGCAATTATCGTAATAACTATATTGGGAGCATATTAAGTAAAGAAACTGATTTCTATAGGCCTGAAAGAGCCCACCAAAAAAATCCTGTGGAATTTGTTAGGCTGGAGTGAAGAGAGCGCTGGGTCATGAGCACTCATGGTGAAGGTTGTGGCAATTGAACTCTTTGTATAGCTACTCCAGGGACAGTGGATATCCAACCAAGCCCAGACAACTCCATGGTTCTTGATTACTCAAAAAAGGAAGCACCCAGAAATGCCCATCTCCCAATAACCTAGCCCTTTATAAGACTTTATTTCTAGCCTAGACCTAACTGTATTTAGCAGAACCCCTCTTCAGTTGTGAGCATCTACCCTTCCATGCTCCATCTTTGCACAATTTCTCTAAATCAACTTCTCTTTGAAGGTATTGCTTCTTCTGGAAATATTCTTGGCAGACGCTTCCTGTTTCCTCATAACAATTCACTTATGCTCAGAAAGAAGTTAAAATCCTCATGGCCTTGCTTCACCTTTCCATTTCCATACGGGCTATGTGCTTTCTTCACATCTACACTTCCCAGAAAGTAAAAGCTATGCTTTCTGCCTTTACTGCTACACCTCCCTGTTTACCACCTTCTGTGCTCCTGCATTGACCTGCTGTCTTCCTTCATGTGCTCCTCAAAACCATCTGTGGTGCTGCCATAGAGATCCAATCATATTTCATGTTAAAGAGGCTTCCTAGCAACTGCAAGATGAAATTCAGGTTTCTGTGGTTCTCCAAGTCAAACCTTTGTCAAGCTTGTAAACCTCTTCTCTGAACTGTCCCTGTTTACTTAATGGCTGGAACTCTAGCAGCCACCTTAGATCATGAGGTTCACCGAGGACTGGGAGCTACTAAGAATGGAATGCAATCTAGAAGGAGCTGTGACTCTTACACTGTGGAACTGCTTGACAAGAGTATGAAATCTGCTTCCGTCTCATTTATCCCATCAACATTTGAGGGCTTTCACATATTTTCATCTAACTGTATAAACACAAGTTCTAAATGAAGAAAGCTGGACTTCCTTTCCTTTAAGGTTCTTTCTGGTTGGATGTTCTTGGAAACAAAACTACGGGTGATATGCATATACTCTTACTTTCCCTTCACTAGGCTTAAACTTATGAAAATGTCAGTCGTTCACTATTATGACCAACAAAAGAACTACAATTGTGTATCACCCTAATGGATAGTTGCATCTTTTCATATTTTACCAATATTTCAAATTACCTAAGCAGGGCCAACATTTATCTGCAAATTTAAAATGGTGACATGATCTTCCAATCATTCAAATTCCCTGAGATTCCCATCC